TTTTTTTTTTTTTTCACTTAATGCAGATGGAACACAATAATTATGTCGGTGACACACAAAGATTTTTTGAAAGTACAGGTTGTTATTCGTAACTTTTTAAGACTTGCTTCCTGAAATTTCTCTTTGTCAACAGTTTTTAGTCATCTCGTGCATTTTGTATTCTTTAGTTCAAAATTTTTGGAATGAAACTTTCAAAATCACATTTCACATGTTCAACATTTAGGAGCATCTTCCCCATATACTATGAGCATTTTTTACTGTTTGTATAGTGTTTACGAAACTTAAAAAGCATACGTGATTATGCATTTTATTTGCAGACATTTTGATTTGATTTTACTCAAACAAAATGTGAAGTAAAGTTTTAAAATAAGCTTCTAAGAAAATAATACAATATCTCATAAGCAGTAAATGTACAGGGTGATTGGAAAATGTCTGACCAAAATTTAAAGGGGGTTAGAAAATAGAAAATTCACCAACACCTTATTTGCTGAGAAAAACATATTTATGTTAAATAAAGATAACTGTGAAGGCTGTGTAAATTAAAACTGCATATATTGCTACAATTAATTTCACACATTAATCAAATCCCACATTAAGTAAGGGATAACTGTATTTTTTATAGCAATAAAAAATTACGATTACAATGAATAGATAATCATTTTCTACCACTTTTGTTATTTTAAGCATGATTCTCTGACTTTGGATATTGCTCAAAGATACTCAGAACAGTTTTTCGCTTCATCTTTCTAGCTAATTAGATTTTTTTACTTTGCATTTTGTGTTACTGAATACAACCCAGTATATGTAGCATGAAATATATTATGCCTTTTAATTGTTAACAAGAACTAACAATTAATAGACTGTAGACTAGATGATCCTTTAGACTTTAGACTTTAATCCTTTTTTAGACTAACATTAATTAGTCAAGCTTAGTCTATAAAACAGGATTATAGTTACATTGGAACCCCTGTTAATGAACTTAATTCGTTTTGTACTCTGTTCATTAACCGATTGTTCGTTAACCAAAGCAATTTTTCCCATGGAAATTAATGCAAATGCTATTTATCCATTCTAGCCTCCGAAATTTTTGTGATTTTATTTGTAATATACAGTAGAATTTCTTTGATGAAAATGTAGGAAAACATAGTATCTATCATTACAGCAACAAACATACTTTATTTAATAAAATAGCACTGTACTTACCTTCGTTTGTTGTAGTTAGTGGCAGATGAATGGCGATATATGAACCGTAATGCTTAGAAGGGGAATCTCCTTCAAAAAAAATAAAGGTAGCAATTCATCGGGCGATTCTTCAAGTTGAAGTTTCTTTTAGTAAGGAACAGGAAATTGATCTAAAGTTGATTATCTTACTCTTTTAATCAAAATTTTTCTTAAATGCGATAGCACATTGCCGTTTTCTATTGCCACTATCACTTTTCTCTTTCTTGGATGCCATATTGATTAAATATATAAATCACAAAACTGAAAAAAGAAGTTTAGCCCAAACACTCAGAAAAGCAATGCTTAATTCGCACGTGCCTAACAACAACTAAAATTTGACAGTAAAAACTGTTACATTCGTTATCTAAATTTCATCCATTATCCAAGACAAAATTTTTGCAAAATAAAAGTTTGTTAACCGATTTGCTCGTTAACCAGGGTTCTACTGTATTTTATTATTTAGCAAGATTTTTTATAGGCATAAGTTAGAGTTGTGAAAACTGGTTTCGGGTTGGAAATTTTTTTCCTTTTAACCAAGTATAATCATTTTGTGAAAATGAATTCTAATCTTAATTAAAATTGTTTTGGCTACATGAGACATATGCTTTAGGATTATATATTTATTAACTAGAATATGGATTATGTGTAAAATGTTTTTCTGCTGTTAATTAGTAAGTTATTCTTTATGAGATTATAATTCTAGCAAGTAAGTCTTAAGCAGTAAGTGAGAAATTTGTGATAGTGAATATTTTGTGGCAAATTTAATGTATTCATTCATAAAATTATTTATTTATTTTCCAGAGTGCCAGTGCAATGGTCACAGTACATGCATTAATGATACAGATGTTTGCCTGCAACCATGCAGTAATCTTACTCAAGGTTAGTAAATTAGTAAGTTTATTGAGATTAGCTCTGCAGAAATTGAGTGAAACTCAGCATAAATTAGAAAATGTTTTGTCTGTGATTAAAGTTTAAATCAACCACACGACCACTAAACAAGATTTTTTGCAAATACTTATAACTTGGTAAGGCCGATGTCAGGACAAAGCTGGATTTTTAAATCTGATCTATCGGTCAGTTTATTATGGGTCAAAATTTGCCATGTGATGTCTATGGGCCAATTGCTGGTTTTAAGTTGGTAACACACTACAAGTCATTCGAGTTTCCAATTACTGTCAATTTACATTGATCTCTATGGCAATTTGTTATTTTCATCTTTACAATGGGCATTTAATATGCATTTCTTGCAGCCATACATGTGTGTTTTAACCAGTTGTTACAGTTTGTAAGCTGCTGGATGCACATGTTTTAAACATTTTTTATTGTTTTTGTCAGTTATTATATTGGACATGCATGTACTGCCCAGAACCTGCATGCTGTAAACTGCTTTAGACAGAATGTTAGAAGCATGTCATCACATTTGTATTTTTATACAGTGTTGAAACAGAAAAAATCTATGCCATGGAGCTTGGTTTCATTTTCCCAGAAAATACTCAGTTTACTTATTATAGTATTTTTATAAAGAATATTTTCAAAGTCTTAATGCATTTTTACAGGTCCTTATTGCCAACATTGCATAGCTGGATACTATGGTAATCCAGTAAACGGTGGGAATTGTACGCCTTGTTTTTGCAATAATCATAGCCATCTATGTGAACAAGAAAGAGGAAAATGCCATTGTAATACTAAAGGAATGGCTGGAAATTATTGTGAAAGGCATGTATTTTAATGTTTTGTTTCTTTCTTGCAAAAATATATATTATAATCTGTGAAATAATTAAAATAATAATAATTTTAGATGTGATGAAAGTAATCATTATTTTGGAAACCCTTTAGAAGAAGGTGGTTCTTGTTATTGTGAGTATATGAATTTTGTTTGTTATTACCTTAATATATTTTAGAAAAATTATTTTGTTTTTATTGTAGTTGTTTTATACATCCACTGAGAAGATATTGTATATCTTTATTGTCTATCTCTTAGTGTATACTAATGAATAAGGCTGGAACTTTAGACAGAAATTTTTAAAGAAGGCCAATAAAAATTGAAAATTGTTTAATGATTTTAAGTTAAACTGCAGAATTTCTTCCTCTTGGTAGGAAGTGTGTTTAAAAATGTTATACCAGATCTGTGTCANGAAGGCCAATAAAAATTGAAAATTGTTTAATGATTTTAAGTTAAACTGCAGATTTCCTTTCTCTTGGTAGGAAGTGTGTTTAAAAATGTTATACCAGATCTGTGTCAACTAACTAGAGACCAATATCTTTAATTAATGTATTTAGAAAAATTTTTTCTTGTATTTTGGTAAACCATCTGAATCTCTGGATTGAAGAATTTAATATTGTATTCCCAAATTGGGGTTTTCTTTAAAAACAGAGGAATTGGCTATAATCTTTTTACTTTATAAGGAATTAGTCAGTTAGCATTATCAAGAAAACTTCGTAAGTTATATGTAGGATTTATTGATTTTGGAAAAAGCATTTAATTCTGTAGATCAAGATCTTTTATGATGGAAACTTGCTAAGAGAGGCATCTCCAATTCATTTATTAATCTACTGAAATAGCTATTTTCTAACACTAATTACATTGTATCTTATCAGAATGGATTCTTGGACATTGAATAAGGGTTTACATCAGGGTGAACCCAAGTATTAATTTATTTATAAATGATATTCTGTATTTTATACAGGAAAAAGGAATTGTATTGTCCTTGCTCTGCTATGATATGATGTTAATAATTATTATTAATCATGTAAAGTACTAAGTTATTTTTATGCCTTTTACAATGATTAGCAACATGACTTTGTGCTGGAAATAGCCGTTACCTAATGGGTACTTTATGCGGATTCGCGCTAATGTGCCAGGCCTGGACTTTAAGCTTGCACCAAAAGAAATAATGACAAAGTTAGTCAAAAAACAATCCAGTATTTAATAATAATTCTAGTAATAACTATGTACAAAATTTAGTAACAGTCAACAACAAATTTATTTAAAGAAAAAATCAATAAGAATCAACCCGACAAAAACTCAAATCACTCTATTTGCTAACTTAAATCTATTCCCCTTTGGTCACGCGACAAAAAATTCAAAGACTTAACTTATGTACAACAATTCTTACGAACTAAGGTCCTAATCGTCACCTTGATATACTAAGCACCTTTTTCCTCAACTCTCAAGACTTTCTAATCTTTGATCCACAAATCTAATAACTTCAAATCGCCTTGAAACCACTTTATCGCTATCGGACACCTCTTGTCGTTTGCTGCTACGAAGCTCACCACGCTTGTTGCTAACAGAAGCTCACCTCGGTCATCATCATTTGAGGTTTGTTCTTTATACTATGAGGTGACATCACAATTCTCATTGAGATCACTCCCCTCATTTACATACTTATCGCTAACAGTAAACTTTCCCTTTCTGCCTGGCAGCCTATTTCCCGACAATTCTCACTAACCTTTTACATTATTCTTTTTTACAATTTTTCATGATGTTTTATTCTTTAAGGTTTAGCAAGTTCCTAAGTTGTGCTTGTGGGATATCACCCCCTTTTTTCTCGGTGCGGACTTACATTTTTCGCTCGGGAATGCAAGTGTGCGTGAGTTTTTTCTACTATGTTTTTTTTTTTTGTTGAGTTGGTTCTCTTTCTTCTATTTTTAAGTTTCTAAGGTGAATGGTGAGGAAACCTTCGTCCTAACAAAACATAAGCCCCAAACAAAATAGAATAAAAAGCAAAATAAAAATAACTAAAAATCATGCTCAGACTTGGTTCCTTACAATCATTAATATATGTATACAATATTTATATATTATGTGAACCAATTATTTTGTCTTTCTTTTCTCCCCTTGTAAAGGCACAAGTCAAATCAACAAAAATCTGTATAAAATAAAAAGACATTGAAAAACCCTAAAAAGACAAGACATAAAATACTGCAAAATAATATTACAGAATCAGTTGGATATATTTAATAAATTGTTTTGTAATTTATAAGTAGAACACTTGAAAGAATATAGTATCTGTATTACAATAAACTGCATAGATTTTTTAAAAAGTGATCTTTTTGAAAAGATTCTATCCTTGCATAACAGTGTCTTATACCTTTTTATCCTATTATAGAGTCTGAACATGTATTGATGTAAAGTTGAACTTCATGTCAGTAGCAAGTTCTATTTTAAAAGGAATGTTATCATCATGTGGACTGTTTGTTATTATGACTACTTCAGATATAGATTTCTCAACAGGATTTTTCATTAAAACTTAATGAAGTTTTTTGAACTGATCTGCAGACAGTAACAGTATCAGAATTTAGTTTTGTCTAAATAAACCTCAAGAATCTCAAAACTGGTTGCAAATCTTTATCCAATTTTTTTATATTTCAGATTTACTTGGGTAAAAATCAAAATTAGTTGTACTAAAACAAATTTAATTCCTAAGGTATCTGTGTTTAGTAGAATTTATTGTTCATACAGCTACAGAATTGACCGGATCAATCTTTGGAATTCTCTCTTCTGTCTTGAAATGTTTTCAATAATAAATAGTGCTTTAATAATCTCTAATTATAATAGCTCAGCAATATGAATATTTATAATCTGAATATAGAATGTACTATAATTGTCAGTATATCAAATTAGTTGATTAAAATAATTAATTATTTATTTTAT